AACGTTTAGATCCAACAAAAATCGTCACTGAAGACTCCATTCCGATCATCGATGTCTCCGATTGGAACGATCCGAAGGTTACAGAATCGATCTGCGAAGCTGCACGTAAATGGGGTTTCTTTCAGATTGTTAACCACGGGTTGACCTTGGAGGATCTTGACAAGATAAAGGACGCAGGTCACCGCTTCTTTGGATTACCAAAAGAGGAGAGAGCAAAGTACTGGAAAGGGAAATCGCCTGCCAATACTGTCTCCTTGTCCACCAGCTTCAGTCCTCACGCCGAAGCTGTTCTTGAGTGGAAAGATTTCCTGAGCTTCAGCTATGTCTCCGGTGATCCAGAAGCCGCTGCTTTGTGGCCACCAGTATGCAAGTAAGGATTTCAATTTCACTGGCAAAAACAAATAGTAAGTAAGAGTTCAACAGAATCACGTATTGCAGAATTAATTATTGTGTTCGGTCCAAAAAGAGGATTAATTATTAGGATCTGCCGATTGCAGTATGGGAAATTAATATTTGGGTCTCTTTCTTTCTCTGTTTTTCCTTTTGTAGATTTCAAGTCCTAGAATACATGGAGAAAGCTAAAATTGTGATTAAAAGACTGCTCGAAGCACTACTCAAGGGATTGAATGTGAAAGAGATTGATCAAGCAAGAGAGTATGTGCTAATGGGCTCGCCAGTAATCAACTTTAATTATTACCCCCGTTGTCCGAGCCCCGAGCTCGCAGCTGGAGTAGGCCCTCACTCCGACATATCTACGATCACTGTCCTCCTCCAAGACGACAACGGCGGTCTATATGTCCGAGCAACTGAGGGTGATTGCTGGATCCACGTTCCACCCGTTAATGGCGCTCTTGTGGTCAATGTCGGAGACACTCTACAAATCTTGAGCAACGATCGATACAAGAGCGTTGAACATCGCGCGGTCGCCAATAGAAACAAGAACAGAATTTCGGTGCCCATATTTGTGGATCCGGGACCTGATGCCGTCATCGGTCCTCTGCCGGAGGTTTTAGAAGATGGGGAGAAACCCATTTATAGGGAAATTGTCTTCTCTGATTACTCCAAGTATTTCTTCAGTAAGGGATATGAAGGGAAGAAGACCATGGACTATGCTAGGATATGATTTGATGAAATCCTGCTTTTGTGCTTTTCTATTGGGCTATCATAAGCAGATTTCTAGCGTGTTATGAATAAATAGCAGAACCTAATAAGAGTAAATAATTTGACTTTGATTATATAGCATTCTAATGTTCTATACATAAATTTTTTAACTCAATCGGCCATCTTACCCTCAATTCAGAATATAAATTGCGAGTATTACAGAATATATAAATAAATAAAATCTAATGCATATGTGTCCCATTTTAATCATACAAAAGGAGAAGTGATAGTCATTAAATACACCATCAATATATGTTCTATATATGTTCTAGCATGATAGAGTTAGTTATACTTTTAATCACTAATTTAAGATTCAATTTCTAGTATAAAAAAAAATTAATAATAATCAAATACAAGCAAATTCATCTGAAAAAATGGGAGCTAAGTGGCACACTCATCTGACATCGCGAAGTCTTTCTTGCCCATTCTACTCACCGCAGCAGTTAACAATAGGCATACTCTAGGACCTACCGCAAAGGGCCACCTAGCGTAAAGTTTCTCTTCCTAGCG